GTCCACGACCAGGGGGGGGAGGGGCCGCAGCGGGGCGGCCCCGACGACGATGACGGCGCCGGCGGCGATGGGCTCGGCGAGGACAGCCAGCCGCTGAGTTCCGCGGAGTGGAGCCAACACGAGGGTGGGGCGACCGCCGCGGTCGAGGAAGCCCCGCGGAGACCACGCGCGGAGCGTTGAGGGCGGCATTGCCCTCTAGGTGGACCAAAAATGCCCAACGCATTGATAGAGCGATTTTCTTGGTGGTGCGAAATAGCAGTAATAAAATAATAAACACGTTCAAGTCTTTGCGGCATAGGGTTGCGAGTTTATTTCAGTCTTTACAAATGTTTCAATCCCTTTATTTATAATCTTAGTTTATAGTCTACATCTAATTATTTTTGATGCAAGAATTTAGCCTAACAACGAAGACGACAACTGAAGGCGGTTTATCGGATTACAATTCTCTAGAAAGTCCTAGAGGCATCGTTCACTCAAACCCATCAATAAATAATCCCATGTGTGTGTGTGATGGACTTCATCATGCCGCGTATCACCCAAAGACCTGAGAATGCGAGGATTCTGACAGGACACTCTTCCATCCCCGACCTCCTGTAGGGCCTTTATAGGGTGCATGTGGAAGGAGGGGAGGGGATTCCACTGCACAGGTGTGAAGGGCGTGAGAAGACGCGGTCGAGAGGGGGTTGGGGATGCTTCCACGGCTTTATGGGGACCTTCACTCGGGCGGTTCTGGGGAATACTGCCTCTTTTCGTTCCGAACGACTAGATGCGATGTTGCTAATGCTATGCGAGACCACGACGAGGAGGGGAAGTGATAGAGCTGTGAATGCAGATTTTTGTGGGTGTCGTCAGGGGTTGTGGGTATTGAACCATATTTTCCCCCTTTGGCGTCGTGAAGGCACACACACAGGGTTGAAACTACAGCCGTATACTCATCTTGACCCTGGCGTTCCGAAAGGCAAACCGAGACAGAGGCCTTCGAGGGCTTTATCGTGATTGGACCATCACCGTGCTGAGCTTTTTTTTATTACAAACGCAATTATCTTTATGGTGTTTGTGTTGTTTAGAAGCCTACCGGGGAAGCCAGTATCACCAGCTAACGTCAACATCTCCGCTTTGATTGGAAGGACGCTTTCTTGAGGATTCCGCGCACTCTGTGACTTTTTGGAAGTGAACCAATTGCATACCATAGAGAATCACTTACTTCCCCCATCTCCTTTTATATATTGTGAACTTTTCTTTGTGGGGTTATCTTCCTATTTTTATCATCATTTATCCAATACTTCTTATTATGTTTCTTATGAGCCCTTTCATCTTCCCCCTGCCTGTGTATCGGCATATTATCCCCAGAGTTATGGAGGCCTTATGGATGAGAACTTTTACAGTTTTTCTGATGACTTGTAACACCTCGTGATTTCCCTGTAGTATGGTGTTTACGTTTTTTTCTTAATCTTTTTGCGTCTTAAATTTCTTTAAATTCAATAAACTACATTCAAACTCCGCTTTAAATATGTTGGGTTTGTTAGTGTTTATTATCATTCTCAACATATCCTGAAAGATAATATTGTCCTTTTGTAAACTACATTTGTCTTTTTGGGGGGCCTATTTCACACCCCGAATGTTTTCTTCCATATATATATAAACTCTTCAATCGACCCAAAACATCAATGTTGCAGAATAGACAGACAATACTCCACTATTGAGGGAAATCCATCATCTTTGACTATCCCAATATAACCCCCTTCCCCTGTTTCAGTAGATCAGACTCCATAAATAAAAAATACCAAGCCTTCGTTGCACACGCGTTGGGTGTCAGGCCAGGTCCCCCCCCTCTCATTTCCTAGTCTTTTCACGCGATCCTCCATCTCTTGGGTTGTGTGTCAGGCCAGGCCCTCCCCCTCCCATTTCCTAGTCTTTTCACGGGATCATCGCTTGGGTTGTTGTCAGGTGACCCCGGCTGGGACGTCCATCCGCCGATCGCCGGTCCTTTGGTTTGCGGGGCGTGGGGGAAGGCAAAGGCGGCGGGCCGCACAGACGAGGGCGGGGGATGGCGTCGCAGGGCCAGGCGGCGACCCAAAGGCGCCTTCGGGGCAGCCGCATTAAGCGCGGGCTGGGCGAGCTGCGGGACCTCGACGCCCCGGCGGCCCGCGTGAGGGCGGAAGGGGGCGCCGTGCTGAGGCCGAGCCCGAGGCCGGAGCCGGCCGGGGTGCACGGCGTTGTTTTCG